AAAAGCTAGAGTGGGGCTCCAGTGGCATAGTCAGTTAGCGCAGTGTGTGCGCGTGTATAAAATTAATACATATGTATATTATATATTAATCTTACAGCTGAAACAAAACTGCCATGAAGACAGAGGACAAGTGGGTGATAGTCAGACAGCCTGCAGGAAGATTCATCTGCTGAAACATTCCAAACGGTTTGGATTTGGGATTTTCTTGCAGTTTGTTCTTCTTGCCAGTTTTATCATCAGGGCAATCGTAGAGCTGGAACAACACCCCATGAGTTAATTTATCTGGAAAACATTTTACTTTTAAGCATTTTCACAACTTTTTATTGTTAGAGGAAGGGCTGTGCTGTGTAAACACATTTGATACAAAGTTTTAGGTCTGAAATTTATTTATTTTTTATTCCTTAAACCTACATTAACTACTATTAGTATAATTTGTATGAGTGCTCAAAAAAGGAATAGGAAAAACTGAGGAACTGTCCTCTAATTGTCTGTTGTGTTTCTTACTAGCTTTAGGTTTTGAAATGATCACACGTGCACAGGAAACTACAAGCAAGACACACCAAGGACCCGAGAATCACGCTTTCCAAAGCACTTATTTAGTTAGGCAACAGATGCAAAATGATGACATTAATATCAAGATGGAGTTGTTTTTAGTTCTGTATCATCTTCCTTCGTATAGTATGTCATTTGCAGGGAAATGGGTAGAATTGGAAATCATCATGTTAAGCAAAATAGCCCAACTCGGGTTGTGGAATTCATGTTTCTCTCGTGTGTATACGGAACCGAGAAACAAACACACATGAAAGTAGAAGAAGAGCTATCAGGGAAGAAGAAAGAGATTTGGGAGGAGGGGTGTAAAGGTGAGTAAGGGTAGTGAATGTGATCAAAACACCCATATTCGTGTGTGTGACGATGCCAAAATGAGACCCACCAATTTGTACAGTGAACGCAAATTAACAGAGTAGTTAGGTTTTGTTTGTTTGTTTGTTTGTTTGTTTGAGATGGGGCTGGATATATCACAGGCTGACCTCATTCCTGCTATGTAGTTACGGTTGATGTGAGCTACTGATCCTTCTCTGTCCACCTCCAGAGTGCCAGGATTATAGGCTTGCACCGCCTCACCCAGTGCTGCCATCAAACAAAGAGCTTTGAGCATGCAAGGCAAGTACTCCATCAACTGCGCTACATGAGCAGCCTCCAAAGTGGTCGTCTTGTGAGTGAATCAATACGCACAAAAAACGTAAGAAATGCTTCCGTGTTGATGATTTCTCTCCTTTTAGTATTTGACAAAATTGGTACTACTTCCTACTGGTTTCCGTGGTTGTAGTGGTTTGGGTATGCTGTGTCCCACAGAGGCTCGAGGGGGGGGGGTTGAAGGCTTGGCCCTCACATGGCGGAAGTTTGAAGAGGTAGGTAGGGTCTGGTTATAGAAAGTCCCTGGAGGTGGTGTGCCTTTGAAAGGTGTCTTGTTTCTGGCATCTTCCTGTTTGTCTCTCCACTTCCTGGTCACTCTGAGTGGACCAGCGTCTGTGGCACACTCATTTTGCAGTGGCATCCTGCCACCCTGGACCTGAGCAATGAACCCAGCTGCCCCTGGGCTGTACACTCTGACACCATGATTAGAAACAAATCTTTCCTACTTTAAGCTGTTCCTCTCAGCTATTCGCCTCTGCGACAAAAACATAGTGGTGTATGGTGTGAAACCTGTGGTTGTTTAAATCTCTCTCACCTGGCCCATTCTTATTTTAATGTTTATTCTTTGGTTTTTCAGAAGTCTCTCTCATCTTGTTTCTGAATTTATCCCTTTGGATGTTGGCTTATCTTCTTGAATGTCTATTAGTTTGACCTTTGTAAGATGTAGAAAATTTTCGACTCATATTTCTCTAAATGCATGTTGTCACCCACCTTCCTTCCCCTTCATCAGATGGATGAGGTGAAGCTTAGCCTTTCTCCTATGGCCCCAAAGTTTCCCAGAATGCTCCAGGGCTTCTGGGTTATTTTTCTCTCTGTTGTTCAGTCAGGGTGACATGTTCCTGTTCTGTGATCAGATTTTCCGCTCTTTCTCTTTTTGGCACACCACGTTCTGTGACTGAGCCTATCCACTGAGATTCACATGTTGGGTTTGTGGTATTTCTCAGATCTAAAAAATTTTTGCTTGGCTCTTCCTGACATCTTCTTTGCAGAGACATTCCTGTGCTTTTTGTTTGTTGAAGGAGCTAATCAGAACATGGTCATGGGAGCTTTTCTATGGCAACTTTTTTTTAAATCTCTTCCCAGGTTATTCTAGTATTCCCATTGGGCACCTTGGAATCTGTTGTTTGCAGGGTTTTTTTTTTTTTTTAATTTGACTTAATATTTTCCCAGCTTCTGAAAGAATGAGTGAATTCTGATAGACACCTGAATACTGGGATATTGTACTCTGAGACTCTGACTGTCATTTCAAATAGGTTTCCCTGACATTTGGGAAGGGAAGGGAGATGGTACCTCATGCTGCTGAGGAGGAATGGGAAGGCTTAGCTTTTCCACTTCTTTTTTTTTTTTTTTTTTAAAAAAAAAAAAACATCTGAAGGGAGGTCTCTTCCTTAGTGAGGGAAGGCTGAGATTTGGCTTCTTCCCTGGGTACTACCTGGCTGGGCGGGATAGTGTCTTATTACTACTGTTTCCTGTGTGCCCTTGTTATTGTTTATCTCCAGGCTTCCTTAGATACTGCCCCTGGGGACGTTTTCTCACAGCCAGAATGAGGTATTAAGTCCAAGCTCACCCCACAGTCTTCACTGCATTAGGGGCAGGTCTCATTATCACCCAGTGGAAATGGAAGTCCTGGTCCCCTCCTCAGCCTTCTCTGACTTGACCCCAGTGGAAAGTTCAGTGGCCTTTATGGCCTAGAAAAGATGGGAAGGCCTGTCCTGGCGGGCACGGGGACAGACAAAATGATCTTTTGTCTCTCTGGCATTTGTTTGGATTGAGTGTCTAGTGTCTAGTTTCTAGTTATCCACAGAGGCAAAGTTCTCCTTGAGACATCATTTTCAGGCCTGTACTTGTTGATGATACAGGAATGTTGACTCTTCAGCTCCTGCTCTGGGTTATAAGAGGTGAAAAGGAAATCCGAAGGTCCCACCATAACATCGTTCTTTGAACCTCTAATCTCCAGATGGTTTGGCTTCCTCCCCTTTTCAGCATATTATATTTGTTTCTTGTAGAATCCCAGGGTTTCTCCAGAATTTGATGATAACATTCTCTGCTGAAGACACTAGACACTGCTCACAGGTCATAGAGAAATCATGCTGGTCCTGACCAGAAGCTCCACCCCTACCGGCTCATTTGCGTATCTACTGCCATCATTTTGTTAAATGGGCTTGGTATCAAACCACCCTCTAAATTCATATCTGTATACCCATTGACAAGCGATGCTATCAGACTTCATCAGAGAAGTTTTTTTGTGCAGTGAATAGTGGCAACACAGAAACTCTTGACTAGTCAAAGTGCAGAGAAAACATGTTAGAGTGATGTTCAGCCACCAGTGAGATGCTACAGCACACCCTTGCCCCTGAGACTGTTGTGAAAGACGGGGGCAGAAAGATCGTAAGAGACAGCGGCCCAGGAGCGAACAGTGTCTTCTGAATGTGACAGGACCACTGCACTTGTGAACTCGGAGCATGTGTGGGTGCCACGCAAGATGAAGCCAGCCAACATTTCATCACGAAGTGAGGAGGGACTCACAGGCCCCCACGCCTAGCTGAGGAGCTAAGGACAGTCGATGGCTTCTTCAGGAGGGAAGGTCAGTTTTTTTAAGGGTGTGATTCTTGGTACGTAGGCTTTACTCTAGCAGGTGGTCACGTACACTTGGATATGCAGACAACACAAACTGGATTACATGGGTTAAAAAAAAATAGAGAACACCAAGGTGGGAAGGGTGTGTGTGGAGTTAAGGAGGATCAAGACACACATATGAAAATTTCCAAGAATTAATAAAATATATTAACAGAATTCTGGGGGCTTCTGTTAGGAGGAAGAATAAAGACATATACATGAATTTAATCTTTCTGGAAGTTTCTTTCTCTTCTTCCCTCTCCTTATTGAAGCTCAGCCATTCTCTAAAGCCTTGAAGCTCACGAGGGACACCAGGTTCAGGTTCTTGATATGCAAACCTGGTCTTGAACTTGACGTAATCTTGCTACTTTTTTTTCATCTGCATGCTAAAATTACAGATGTGAATGATGGCAGGTGGCTCCTACTTTTCTTTTTAAATGTATGAGAATAAATATTTTTTATAACCTAGTTATACCTTATGATACATTAAGTAACCCAACCACTAAAATTTTGAATACAGAAGATGTTTTCTTTCAAGTTAGGATTAAAATGTGTAGGTACCATAAGTGAAAAAGATTATATAACTGTGGAAATTGTTAAGTGGAAGAACAATTATAAGAATAAAAACTCCTAAATATTCCATGACCATTCTTTGGATGGAATTGTATGTTTTTCTTTAATATGCAAAAGTTAAAATAGGAAAGCCTTGTTCATTTGGGATTAAAAATAAAATAAATGTTATTTTATTTCTGAAAAAAAATACATACAAACATCTTTCTAGATATGCAACATTTCTTATGGATTATTTAATCTATTTGAGTAGTGATGCTATTTTCAGTCTGGATTTATGCAAATCCAAACTACAGTCATGAGTTTAGGCGAGTTCTCTTCTGTTACATGGTCATTATAACCAAGGGCAATTAGCCACTAAACTATATTTACCATCCTAAAGAAATGAAACAAGTTTTATTTGGAGATTAGCAAGAATGGTTTATGGGCTTCCAGAATACCAAAGCCAGCTTAAGGCAGAAGCCATGATCAACAGACCCAGAATGCTTAGTGCGGCTTTTCAAGACCTGAAAGCCCGGTGGATCCCTGTTTCTGCACTGGGTGTGCCTGGTTGAGGTCTGGACTTCTTTCTTGAGCAGCAACAGTTTTGACTTTCTTCCACCGTCCCAGTTATTTAATACTTATGCACAGCAGTTTTCAACTGTGCAGATCACGTAGGCTGAACACGGCTCACACACGCTGTTTGATATGGATGCTGCAGAGCATGGGTTGCAGGGGAGTCTGGGGAAAAGCAATTCCAAACCAAGTTTAGCGAGGATTCTGGAAGCGGGTCGTCTCAGAAACATTAGAAATGGCCTTACAAGTTGTCCTCAGTGGAGGACTTGTATTTGACTCTAGCCCGTTTCACCGCTGGACCCGGAACAGCCATTACTTCCACCTCCATGTCTGCTTCAGCTCACTGCAGCAGGCACTGGTACACAACTCCTTATCTTTAGTTTACCAAACGTCACATCATGCATGCTCCCGGTTTCCCTCTTGTGGAGCTGTGATCTATGAAAATCATTCTGTTTCACAGCTTGAGGGTACTTCAGAACATCTGTCATTGACTTAGCCTTAGCTGTTCTTCATTCAAAAATCATTCTTTTTACACTTATTTGGTGTGGTGTGGTGTGGTGTGTGTGTGTGTGTGTGTGTGTGTGTGTGTGTCAGAGGACAGCCTATAAGTCCCTTAGTTTTCTTCTCCCACCATTTAGGTTCCAGCTTGAGTACAGGTCGTCAGGCTCGGCAGTATCTCTACCCTTTGTGGGAGTTTAAAGGAGAAATATCTCCTCTAGGTTCAGTCATTTGACTGCTTGGTTCCCAGGGGGCAGGACTGTCTGGGGGTGGTGGCATCTCTGGAGGAAGTCACCGAGGGTGGGCTTTGAGAGTTTGTGAACCGCCACACTTTAGGCTCACCACCCCTGCTTTCCGCTTGCAGTTGAGGATGTCATCTCTAAACTCCCTGTGATTTCTAAACTGTCAGACCTGCTGCCTGCTGCCATGATGCCCAGCCATGACAGATTCTCACCAACCTGCAACTAGACGCCGAAATAAGCTCTCTTCCTTAGGTTGCCTTTGGTCATGGTCACAGAAATGAAGTAACTAAAACACCCACCGAACCAGCGAGCCAGGTCTTTTCTTCACTTTTCAAAAAAATAAGACCCACAAACATACTGGCAGGGATCGGCCTTGGTCGGGCCTCGAGAAAACATAATTCTCCTTTGGGACGCTTGTGTAACGATGCAACTTGCCTGCTGTCCTCACTCTCCAGCAGGCTCCTGTATGTGTCGATCTCGCACTCCAGCCGGGCCTTGGTGTCCAGCAGCACCTGGTACTCCTGGTTCTGACGCTCCAGGTCACAGCGGATCTCGGCCAGCTGGTGCTCCACGCTGTCAATTAGGCACTGCATCTGGGCCAGCTGTGCGCTGTACTGGGCCTCGGTTTCTGCCGCAGTGCATTCCAGAGATTCCATCTGCAAGAGGAAGACCTTCTCAGAAGGAGCCCATGACAGGGCCTTGCTGGACCCCTTTCTGGCCCTGAGACCTCAGGCGAGTTCCTTAGCTTCTCTGAGCCTGTCTTATTCTCTGGCCAATGGAGAATGCAAAGTGCTCATGTCACGGAAAGGTTGCGAGGGTGAGATGAGCTGACCTGTGGGAACACTTGGAACAGTGCCTGGAAAAATATCCAGGGCCTTTAAGATGTCACCTCGATCATCATGACAACTGTCACCCAGGACCTCTTTGGGTATCTCGACGAGGGTTGACAGCGTTTGGGAAGGAACTCTGAGTCTGAGTGCCTGGCTGGGAGGAGCAGTGCAGCGTCAGTACAAAGAAAGAAGACGGGTGGGGTGTGTTGGGGGAGGGACCACCTGGGTTCCATTTCCACTGAGGACTGCAGGGCATGACTCTAGCCCGCTCACCGAGGCCGGTGACGTTGTCTGCTATAGATAACACTGCATCTCCTAGACGAAAGCTCAGGTGAGGTTCATCTGGGCACACTCCTTGGACTGTACCCAACATGAACTGTGAGGCCTGCTGGGACCTGGTATATGCCTCGTTCACTGCATGGTGTTCTTGTTGCTTGGGTGGGGAGGGGCATGGGGATGTGCAGATCTCAGCTTTAGCATGAACACTTGAAAACTGACGTGTATTTTCCCCTTGTTTGTTTTAGACACGGCGGTGAAACTGGAAAGTCGTTCACGGGTAACAAGGTATTAAAATCTGTTGTTAAGCTTAAGCGCCTTTGGCTCAGCTGTCTCTGACCCACTGTGTTCTGAGCCTCTTCCTGTCTCTAGTGGGCGGTATTGGGGACACGCTCAGGCCCAGGAGAACCCGGGAGGCACCCTAGTGATACCCACGAAGACTGTTGATCTGTCGCTCCGCTTCCAATATGGTCTAGTAACGTATGTGGAGAAAGGCAGGGAGAGGCCACCCTGGCTAATTGGATGCCCAGACCTGCCGTGTGAACTGGGAAAACCTCCCTGGACTTCTGTCAAAGATCATAGCATCTCTGGGCACGTCGCCGGCCAAGGCTCGCCACTGTTCGTCCCACGCACCAGGGTTTGCTGCGCCTGGAGCTCAATCTCCAGAGTGTTGGCCGTGCGCTTCAACTCCAGCATTTCCGTCTGGCAGCCTTGCAGCTGTTCGGCACTGGACGTCTGCTGCTGGTTTAGTTCTTCCGTCTGAAACACAGGCCCCTGTTAGAGAGCTCGGGCTGGCCCCCTTCCCTCCGGGAAACCCGCCCTTTCCCCGAGGGCGCTGACCTGAGCGGCGAACCACTCCTCCACATCCCTGCGGTTGTTGGCCAGTACCCTCTCATACTGACAGCGCATCTCATCCAGGACTTTGTTGAGGTCCACGGTGGGGGCGGAGTCCAGCTCCACGCTGAGCCGATCTCCGAGCTGCTCCCGAAGGAGGCTGACCTCCTGAGAGTGACAATGGAGTAAGGAATAAAAGAATGTCAGAGTGCCTCTTGACTGCTGAGCCATTTTCCCATCCCCTCTTTTTATTAAGTCTCAATGCCTCGGTTTTTTCATCCGCAAAGTGGGTGTCATATTGTATCCTTTCCCAGAGGGTTATTGTGAGACAGGGAAGACTGACTCCACGCAGTAAGGTTACAGAATTCCTGACGCATGCCAAGGCACTCATCATTGTTAGCTATTGTTACCATTAAAATAGTCAGAGAAAATTTTGTTTTACTTTGTTACATCACTCTGCATTTTTCATTCTTAACAGTTTATGATAGAAACAAGATTCTAGATGTACAATATCTAAAAGACATGACTCCAAATATTGTGTGACTATTTATCTCCTGTTTTTTTTTTTTTTTTTTTTTTGGAGGCTAGTAAACACAGCTTGTTTACTGACTCGGTTTTCTTGTTGTACAATAGAGTTGTGGAAGAAGCCATGAGTGTAAAGTCACTTCTCCATCCATGCAAAATAGCAGGGGAAAGAGAGTGGCCTTCCCCTTCTTTCTCCCTTCCACTCCCCCCCCCCCCCCGTGCTGCTGAGGGTTTTGCCACAGTCACATCATCCTTGAGAGACACTGGGGGGAGGAGGCTTCGCAGTAGGCATGCCTCTGGTTTCATTCCGGTTTAGGAAATGTCTGCCCTGGCTGTCTATACGCATGAAGAGCCCTCGGCAGACCTGTCCTATAGGCCTTGGCACAGCAGCCCGTCACTCACCTCTTCATGGCCTTTCTTGAGGCAAAGGAGATCGTCTTTCAGAGACTCCACATGGGCCTCCAGATCTGATTTGCACAGGTTCAGCTCACCCAGGATCCCATGAAGGCCACTGATGTCATTCTCCACCAGCTGGCGGAGCGAGAGTTCACTCTCATACCTTTCACAGCAGGAGGAAGAGAGGAGAGCAGCTTACTGGCTAAAAGTGCTTGGGGTGCAAGGGGGAGTGACACTCGGCCTCCAGGGAGCCACATGCCACAGTTTCCTGTGAGTTCCGAATGAGGGTGAGTTCAAGTTTCAAACATTCTCAGATTTAAAAAAAAAAAAAATACGCAAAGAGTATTTTCTCTCTCACTGGAAGCCATCAACCAAATTACATTTAAAATTTAACGTGTAAGTGGTACATGTAAAACACAGAGTGGTTTAACTAAAGAAATAAATGCGATTGGACTTACTTTGACCTGAAGTCATCGGCAGCCAGTTTGCAGTTGTCCACCTGTACGGCGAGTCTCGAACTCTCTGCCTTCGTGCACAGTATCTAAGAGGTAAGGCAACATGTAACCAACCGACAGCTCTTTGGAAGAACCCCACGCATCTGTTCTAACAGCCAGGCCAGTCAGCCTGACACCTTCGTCTTCGAGAGCCAGCACAACATCGCTTTCAACCCGTGTTCACTATTAACTACACCTCTTCACGAAGAGAAAACAACAACAACAACAACAAAAAACCAAAACCATGCAGTGCCGATTTAGAAACAAAATACAGAAATGCATGAGTTTAGACCTGTGCAATGCCTTAGAGGTGAGAACAGAGTGTCGGGTCCTCAGGAGATGAAGTTGTAGATGGCTGTGAGCTGCTGTACATGGGTTTGGGGAACTGAACTCAGGTCCTCATGAGAGGCACAATGCTGCTCACCACGGCCGAGCCCTCGCTGCAGCTCAAGGTTTCCTTTATAAACGGTGTAAGGCATTTTGCAGCTGTCACGGGCCGTTGAGCTTTGTCAACACCTTCCTCCACTTCCAGTGTTAACTAGAAGTGCATCTCTGTCTGTGGCCATAGAAATCCATCAATGAAAAGAGAAGAGATGGCTTTGTTGGCCAAGCCTTCGCAATGCAAGCAGGAGGACCTGGGTTCAATCCCACAGAACTCACATAAAAAAGCCAAGTATAGCAGTTGGTGCCTGTTAACCCCCTTATTGGAGAGGTGGAGACAAGAGGCTCCCGCATGGGGCCCCTGAGGCTCCCTGGGGCTCCCTGACCAGCCAGTCAGGCAAATCAGTCAGCTCCAGCCTCAAGGAGAGACTCTGTCTCTCAAAACACAAGTGGGGAGTGGAAGATGCCATTGTTGACCTCAGGCCTCCTCACGCACATGCATTCACTCCCCACATACACCTAAGTCACTCCCAACCCACAGAGAAATGACATTTCCATAGCCACTCAATAACTGGCTGAGACTGAGACACACAACCTTTTGTTGGAGTTCCTCAATGGTGTCGAAGTAATGCTGATAATCGGGGCACACCAGTGGGGCATCGGGCTCGCATTGCTCTCGGATCCTGCATTCCAGCTCCGCGTTGTCCTCCTCCAGGCTCCTCACCCTCTCCAGGTAGCTGGCCAGTCTGTCATTCAGGAACTGCATCGTCTCCTTCTCGTTGCTGTTGAACGTCCCTTCCTCACACCATGCACAGCTCCCCGCTAGGCACGGGCTGCTGCAACCACTGGCAAAGTAACACGGTGACAGACCGCAACCGGCGGGGAGGTGAGCCCTGCAGAGGAAGCTAGGGCTTTGACATCTGGATGAAGCGCAAGTGCTGGGGAGGCAGCTTGTGTCGGTGGGGCACAGTGAGGCAGTTGCACAGCCCAGCGGCCCCGTACAGGGCTCAGAAGAGCAGCGCCCAGGGGAGCCGCCGGAAGCCATCTTCTGTTAGGAGCAAACTAGATGCAGTATTACCGACGTCTCTCGTAGTTCCCAACCGGCTCCATCCCTCCTGAGACTTTTATATCAACCTTCAAATAGGTGTTTACAGGACACATGGATGTTTTCTCTAGCACCACAGGTGCCAGTTTCCCTCCAAACATCTCATTAGGGTTGCTTATTTACAGAGGAAGTTTTATGCCTTGTAAAAGGTGGATAACTTCGGGTTACTAAATCAGGACTAACGCCATTTTCCACATGCTGCTCTCGGTTAAAATGTTTATTTCAGCCAATGGCCATAGGGAGCATTATTCTTTTGAAAGAATAAGGAGGCGTAGAGAAAAACTGAGCTATCAGTGATTATAGGTAGAGCCCATTAGAGATACAAAAGGTAATATTGCCATAGGTTTTGATTTTGAAAGTTGATTGCTCCTGTGTACTTTAAAAATGGATACCACAGCTCATTGTATTTGTTGGTGCTACGGACCACTGTGAAAACGGTCACTGTGGTAGCAATCTTGAAAAGTTATTTTTTAAAAACTGAGCCTGAAGCATGTGCTTACATGGTAAAGGAAAAGGTTTGTCCTGAGTATAAAGTGTGTGCATCCCCAAGCACTAACCATGGCCAATCCTGCTTAGTTTCTGAGATTGGCTATGCTTGAGTGGACAGTCATACACTTAAGTTTGCCTTCTATTTCCATTTGAGATGAGTCATGCTGTTGTTAAAAGCAGCCTTTGTTTGTTTCTTTCCTCTGGTTTTGGGAATCAATTATAAGGTATTGTTCATGCTACATGAATGATATACCCCGACCTACAACCCCAGTCCTTACCTGGATTTATAAGGAGGTATACATTCCAGTGAGGGTCTGTCTGTAATCTTTCAGTCCCTTGGGAAACCTCACTGATGATACTTAAGAGTAGAGTCAAAGAAGCTGCAAAAATCATGCTTTCTGTTACATAGAGCCTGCTTCCTATTGGTTACTTAGGAAAGTCTCAATTTTATGAAAATTAAAAATATTAGAATTTATATTTGATCCTGTGATGTCTGCTTCCACTGAGTAAAAAGCTTTGCTACATAACCAGATGGATGAGGATTCAAGACAGAACTTCTTTGCATCTGTTCTAGGATTTCGCCTCTAATTATAAAGTGCAATTTCATGTTGTTTGACTTTAAATGTGGTTTTCACTTCACTTTCAAAGATTACGCAGAGAAAATTCCTTCCAGCATCAATAAAGAGCCCACCCCACCCCCCCACCCCCATGTACAGCAGGACGATCCCAGACCCACCAGGGGTGTAAATAATGACACAGAGGCTTGCTAATATTTGAAAGCTTAGGCGCTTTAGCTGGCCATGCTCTCAGCCACTCTAGCCTTATCCTGGTTCACCCTGGCACTGCGTCCTACCACGTGGTCAGCTCTAGCTCTCTGCTCCTGTCCACCTCTGTCCATGGCAGTCCATCTCCGTTTCCCGCTAGCAGTCTCCTGGATCTGAATCTCCTCCCAGAGTCCTTCTCTGCTTCTGCAGAGCCCAGAAGATCTACTTTCTGCTTCCTGCCCAGCCAGCCATTGGCTGTCAGCTCTTTACTAAAGCCAACCAGATACAATTCTGGATTGCCTTAGGCAGGTAAGAAAGGAAGAAATATTTAGAAAACACGAGACTAGTGATGGGCCATACCTTTCTTCTGGTACTGAATTAGCAACTGAATATACAAAGACACGCCTTCACACAGTACAACCCCAAATGTGTGTGTGTACCTGGATGTGTGTGTGTATAGTGTACAAAAACTGTGTTTGTGGAAGCCAGAAATTAATTTTGGGTGTCTTAAATTGCTCTTTACCTGATTATTTTAGAGACAGAGTCTTGCTATATAGCTCTGACTGACCTGGGAGACTCTGTAGACCAGGCTGGCCTCTGACTCGTATTGGTCCAACTGAATCTGCCTCCTGAATGGTCTGATAAAAGGCACATGTCACCTCACCTTTTGAGACAAAGTCTCTCACAGAACCTGGAGTCCACCTGTTTGGGTAGACTGGCTGGCCAGTGAGCTCTGGGGATTCTCTTGACTCCCCACCCTCACCTCAAACATTGGGATTACAGGTGTGCTGCCACATCCAGCTTTTGTGCTGGGAATTTGAGCTCAAGTTTAAAGCCTCACACTTGATCAGTCATCTCCCCTTTAAGACTCTTTATAGAAAAAGCAAAATCCATTAATCTGATAAAGTGAAAAAAAATTTCATGATCCCAAAACACAGTTATTCACCCCCACCCCTTTTGAGCATCCCTTCCTAGGTAGCTGCCAATGGAAATAAAAAAATAATAAAAAGGAGAAGTATGTTGTAAGCAAGTAAGATAATGTCCTGGAATTTATTCACAAGTTATTTGAAATCTTGTGGTGTATGGATACTTTACTGTGAAGAATGTGGAGCTGAGGGTTCAAAAACACATCGAAAAGACACATACCTGAAATAAAACCACAACCCAGGAGCAAACTGATAAATAGTGCACAAAGTAACTCTAAAGAGAAGCTCTGTTCTGCACTAGCTATTCATCATGGTAGCAGGCAGTTTAAATCTGATACTGTGATGCAGGCTCGGTGAAGCATGGCTGGAATCCCAGCATGCAGGAGGCCGAAGCAGGAGAATAAGGGGCACAAGGATGGTCTGCGCTACATATCAGGACCCTGTCTCAAAACCACCTCCCCGAAAGTGTTACAATGTAGTATGTTATTATTTTAAATTAACTGCAGGTAAAATAAGGGATATCTCCTTGTGCCTTGAACGAAATTCTGGTTAGAGAGCTCTGCCTGCTGGTTGTTGTATCCAAGGGGCGTGGATGATCACGTGGGTCTTGGTTAAGTAGACGGTTTTGTACAATGATGAGCAGCTGTGCTCGCAGAACACGGGAGGGGACCGGCTGCACAGCTGCAGCTTTCCATCCCCAGAAGAAGAGGCCACTGGGAAGAGAAGGAAACAAACAGACATCATGATGGAAAGCACTGTGGTCTCATTTGTGGTGTGCTCTTGTTTTAGGACATTCACTGACTCCTGCTGCCAGAATCATTTTTCAAACATATGATTTTAATTATTTCTTTATTCTTCACGGACGCAATCCAAACCATCCCCTTTGGCAAGCAGCATCTCCCTTCCCTGGTTGATAGATATCTTGTTGCTTGGTAGTCATCTCACAAACCCAAGCTCCAGCCACCCTACAAGCTCACGGATATTGTTTCTTCTGACCTTCCTTTTGTGGCTCAATTTTCATGTGAAAGCCCAGAGGAAATGCCACCCAGCTGCCTCTGGTTGGGATGTCCAGATCAGACTCCTCACACCAAAGCTGTGCAAGAGGAAGTGGCAAAAACAATGATAGGAACCAGAAGTGGTAAATAACTATAAGAAAACGGCGTTTGTTTACAGCAGGAAGCAGGGAAGTTGCACAGGGGAGGTCACAGTGGTTGCAACAGCATGCACAGGACTCATGCAAACTCAAGCTGGACCGGATCTAAACGCACAGAGGAGAGGTGAGCATAAGGTCCCAGCTACAGGTGAGGAGCTATTGGCAGATGGTGGCTGCTGGGAGAGGGAGAGTCAATTTTCTTTCAGAGTGTTGTCCATGATGGGTTGCCTGCATTTCAACAGAAGGCCATACACACAAGGGTGTATGGACAGCGCAATCTGGACTTGATGATTTTTTTTTTTTTTAATAGGACACAAAATTGGGTGAAATGGAAAGTGAGGGTAGATCTGCGTGGAGTTGGGGGTAGGGCATGTGATCAAGAAACCTTGTGTGAAATTCTCAAAGGGGGGGGGGGAATCACACACCAGAAGTGGTGGAAGAGAGGAAACCGGATGGGAGCCTACAATAAAGGGTCCTCTGAAATGGTTCATTCAATAGGGGATTGAAGCAGATGATGAGACTCAGGACCAATCTTTGAGAATCTTATGGAGGAAGAAAGCGTGGGAATAGAGGGACATGGAGGGGACAGGAGCCCCACAGGGAGACCAAGAAACTAAAAAATCTGAGCCCAGGAGGTCCTGCAGAGACTGATGCACCAACAGAGGACCATGCATGGAAGGCACCTAGACCCCCTGCTCAGATATGGCCGATTGGCAGCTCAGTCCCCAGGTGGATCTCTGAGGGAGGGGATCAGGGGCTGCCTTTATCATGAACTCAGTTGACTGCTCTTTGACCACTCACTCCTGATGATGAAGCATTGCTAGGCCATGGAGGAAGAGGATCCAGGCAGTCCTGATAAGAATTAGCAAGCTATGGGCAGATGGCAATAGTGGAGAACTCCTCCTTTCAGTGGACTAGGGGTAGGAATGGGGGAAGAGAGAGGGAGGATGGGACTAGGACTAGTTGAGGGAGGGGGCTTCAGTCAGGATACATAATGAATTAATTGTGAAGAAAAAAAAATCACACAAACATTCATATATGATTTTCTTTTGTAGGTTTATTAGTCTTTTTTTTTGGACAGAGTTTCTTAAGGCATATGTCTTCTCCCTGGTCCTTAGCATATAACAGCCCATTAATAAATGTTTCCTAAGGATAAATCCATTTACTTTAATAGGGACTTTTGTCCCTATTAAATTGATGCACAATTCTTCACACAAATTAATACTGAAGACAAAGAAAATTGGTAGGGGATGAAAAATTTTGTCCTGGTGGCCATATTTCCATATAACTAAATTAGATGTACATTTAGGTATAAAATCCACTAGCTGTATTTCTCTTCTCTAGGTATGGAATCTCTTTGGGCCTTATTTGTCTTTACCATAAAATGAGAAAATAATATCTGTGTTACTGTGTGGTTGACATACAATAAACAACAAAAGGTATCTTACTTTAAAAAAGTTAATGGGGCTGGAGAGATGGCTTAGAGCTTAAGAGCACTGGCTGTTCTTCCAGAGGTCCTGATTTCAATTCCCAGCAACCACATGGTAGCTCACAACCATCTATAATGAAATCTGGTGCCCTCTTCTGGCCTGCAGGTGTACATGCAGA